GCCTGCTGGGAGTCCAGCTTGGCGGAGGCCAAATCCTGCTGGAGAGGCACTAGCTTCTGGTGCCGGATGGAGAGCTGGGGCAGCTGGGGCAGCTTGGCGGCCAGCTGCTCCGTTTGCAGGTGGATGGTCTGCTTCTGCTTGGCCTGGAAGGACTGCAAGGTCTTGACCTGGAGTTGGGTCTGCTCCAGCTGGGGCTGGCCGAACCTCTGCTGCTTCTGCACGTGGGTCAGGGCCGACCGGTAGAAGAGTCCCGTCTGGGGGTCCAGGGTGTCCTCCACCTCCCCCTCCTCGGCGACCAGCTGCTCGCTGTGCTTGGTGAAAGCCGTGTGGCTGCTCAAGGCCTGCAAGGGAGAAGGCACCCATCAAAGGGAGGCCCCGAACCATCCTGGGGGGGGGTGTCCCCTGGAAGGGGCTCAGGTACCACCCGCATCATCTTTCGCCAGCATGCCCCACGACCCCACTGCTGGGGGGTCGGGAGGGGAACGAATGAATGCAATGGAAGGTTTGGGTGGGGAACCCCTTGCCCCAACCTCATAAAAGAAAGGAGATCGGAGTGTGAGAATTGGGGCATAAAACCCAACTTTTTCGCTGAAACCTGCCAGTATCTTGGGAGAAGTGACTGTCTGGGAAATGAGGGGTCCTTGGTGGTCTCTGAGCTGGGTGGTTTTCTTACAGACGTTTCATGACCTGACTAGGGAGTGGGGTTTGTGGGATGGAGGATGGAGGATGGTGGATGGAGGAGGAGGAGAACTGTGGCGTCCTTGATGTTCTCTGAGCTTGGTTGCTTTCTTGCAGACGTTTCATCACCCAGCTAGGTAACATCATCAGTGCTAGAAGGGAGTGGGGTTTGTGGGATGGAGGAGGGAGGAGGGAGGAGGATGATGGAGGAGGAGGAGGAGGAGGACGATGACTGTGGGATCCTTGGTGCTCTCTGAGCGTGGTTGCTTTCTTGCAGACATTTCATCACCCAACTAGGTAATATCATCAGTGCTAGAAGGGAGTGGGGTCTGTGGGATGGTGGATGGTGGATGGAGGAGGAGGAGGAGGAGGAGAAGAAGAACTGTGGGGTCCTTGATGCTCTCTGAGCTTGGTTGCCTTCTTACAGACGTTTCATCACCCAACTAGGTAACATCATCAGTGCTAGAAGGGAGTGGGGTCTGTGGGATGGAGGATGGAGGAGGAGGAGAACTGTGGCGACCTTGATGTTCTCTGAGATGGGTTGCTTTCTTGCAGACGTTTCATCACCCAACTAGATAACATCATCAGTGCTAGAAGGGAGTGGGGTTTTTGGGATGGAGGAAGGAGGAGGAGGAGGGAGATGGAGGAGGATGGAGATGGAGATGGAGGAGGACTGTGGGATCCTTGGTGCTCTGAGTTTGGTTGTTTTCTTGCAGACGTTTCATCACCCAACTAGGTAACATCATCAGTGCTAGAAGGGAGTGGGGTTTGTGGGATGGAGGAGGGAGATGGAGGAGGATGGAGATGGAGGAGGAGGAGGAGGACTGTGGGATCCTTGGTGCTCTCTGAGCTTGGTTGCTTTTTTTGCAGACATTTCATCACCCTACTAGCTAACAACATCAATGCTAGAAGGGAGTGAGTCTATTCTCTGCAAGTGTCTCGCTCAGCAACAAAAATGTTGGGCTCAACTGTGGTCGTACGTTGAGGACTACCTGCTCAGAGAAGGTGGTACTATGTGGCCAGACCCGTGTGAAAAATAAGCTGGACATCCGTGTCACCGTTGACTAACAATCACTTTCCAATTTCATGAAGCTCCCCACAGAGTGGACTCAGCCCAAGGCTCGCAAGCCCGTCACCCCACCATAGAGCACAGCCCACCTGCTGCATGAAGTGCGTGATGGCGCCTGCAGAAGAGGTGGGGATGGACTTCACCACGACCGAGGTCTGTGTCGCCGTCTGGGATTGGGCTACATGTTGAAGCAAGGTCCGCTGGGCCTCGGAGGAGGGCTGGTGGGACTGGGACCGGTGGGTCACTGGAAGGATAGAAGGAAAAAGGCCGTCAGAGGTCACTCACCAAGGGACACCCTCAAGCAGTGTTTCTCAACCTTGACCACACTGAGGTGGGTGGACTTCAACTCCCAGAATTCATGCTGTCTGGGGATGTCTGGGAGTCGAAGTCCACTCATCTTCAAGTGGTCAAGGTTGGAACCTGCGGCCATAAAGTTACCTGCTTAACTGGATGGCTATGAATCAAAGACAGTGTGGATGAAAGGGACAGTATGTGTGTTTGTGTGTTTAAGTAAGACAGTATAATATACTGTAAGAGAACCAACTGGTGTCTTGATTAAGGCACAAGACCAACCTGGCTCTCTTATAGTTCATTATATTGGGCCAATTTCAAGCCATGTTATCCATCCTGGCACAGAAGGGGAAAAAATGACTGCAACTTTCTGGTTATCATAAAATTCTCCCAAGTGTCAGTGGCAACTGTTGGAAGCAACAGACAATACTATCACTGAGATCCTTCAGACAATGCATGAGTGAGCCTGCCTCCTAGACTTGCCAATATCAGCATTTTTGCCAACCCAACTCAAGTCAACTCAACCAACCCAACCCAATCCAATCCAATTCAATCCAACCCACCTAATCCAACCTAATTTAACTCATCCTAACCCAACTCAATTCAATCCAACCCAATTCAACTCAACCAGCCCAACCCAACTTAAACCATCCCAAACCAATCCAACCCAAGTCCACCCAAATCAACTCAACCATCCCATCCCAACCCAACCCAACTCAATCCAACCCAACCCAAGTCAACTCAACCATCCTAACCCAACCCAACTTAACCCATCCCAACCCAACCCATCTCAATTCAACCATCTCAATCCAATCCAACCCAACCCAACTTATCCCAACCCAACCCATCTCAACTCAACCATCCCAACCCAACTTAACCCATCCCATCCCAACCCAATTCAATCCAAGTCAACTCAACCAACTGAACCCAATCCAATCCAACTTAAGTCAACCCAACCCAACCCAACCAACCCAACCCAACCCCCCACATCCCCTTCATCCCTCTTGTCTGTACCATAAAAATAAAATATCTAACCAATGTGGTTCTGAAGATATTCCTCTGAATGCGAAGGAACACAGTGAATCCTTCCAGAGTCTGCAGATTGATAAAAGGATTAGAGTTAAGAGAGGAAGCAAGCATTGCAACTCTCAACCCAAATCAGGGTCACCTGGCTGCTGTATAGTAAATCCATCCATTTGCTCCCATCACTTGGTTTGAGTTCTCTGTAGAGATTCAAAGAAGATGGAAAAGAATATGACTTTGACCTCATGTTGGAGGGATGAAACTTTAAAAAATGGAGCTGCTGCTGGCTGGCTGGTATCTATCATCACTAGGTCATCAGGAAACAGGCAAAGGCAAAAAAAAACCTAGTTAACTGAATTGACCTAACTCCCGCTGGCCTAGTCAGCGTCGTCGTCCTAAGGGCAAAGCTGGAAAATTAATTCCCCCCCCCCCACCAAGACTGTCCCCGCAAACATGGAGCCTCTCTTAAGACTCCATCATGAAGAGATGAATGTCCAACTCTGTCATGATCTCACAGTGGATTTGCTAATAGGCATATGAAAAAAAAAAAAGAGTTAAACTGAAATTAATCTCCGTATTCAAATCCGGTACAGTACACGTATTTTAATGGAACATGCATATATTTGTAGCATACCCTGAAATTATTTTCTGTTTGTTTGTTTATTTAATGAAGGGGCTATTTGTCGTATGCCTCCAAATTGTTTTCAGTTTGTTTGTTTGTTTAATGAAGGGGCTACCGGACCCCTCCTGGTGGTTTAGTCCAGTGGTTCTCAACCTTTTTAATGCCGCAACCCGAACCGGTCGTAAGTCGAGGACTAAACCGGTCGTAAGTTGAGGACTACCCAACCGGCCGTAAGTCGAGGACTTTCCCTGCCCGGGAGCGCCGCGCATGCGTGGTTCCGCCCCCTGCGCCAGCCGAGGCGTAGCTGGGAAGCGGCAGAGACGGAGCAGGCCGACCACCAGCTGGCCCAGCCCAAGGGAGGTAAGGCACCCGCCGGAAAAGGGGAAAAAAATGGCGGACAAAAAAAATGGCGGACAGCCTTGCTTGGCGACCCCCGTGAAATGGTCGATCGACCCCAAATGGGGTCCCGACCCACAGGTTGAGAACCACTGGTTTAGTCGGTCTGAAAATCAAAGCTTTTTGATACGATAGCTTATCGAAGTCTAGAAAAAGGGCGCTCTTTCCTTAACCCAGGGGTAGGACACCTTGGCTCTTCTATGACTCGTGGACTTCAACTCCCAGAATTCCTGAGCCAGCCATGCTGAGGGGAAAGGGAGAGGTTTCCAAGCTGAGCCATGCTGGCTCAGGAATTCTGGGAGTTGAAGTCCACAAGTCATGAAGGGGCCATAGTTCCCCCATGCTGGATCAGGAATTCTGGGAGTTGAAGTCCCCGAGTCATGAAGGGGCCATAGTTCCCCCCATGCTGGCTCAGGAATTCTGGGAGTTGAAGTCCCTGAGTCATGAAGAGGCCATAGTTCCCCCATGCTGGCTGAGGAATTCTGGGAGTTGAAGTCCGCAAGTCATGAAGGGGCCAAAGTTTCCCTTCTGCTGGCTCAGGAATTCTGGGAGTTGAAGTCCCCAAGTCATGAAGGGGCCATAGTTCCCCCATGCTGGCTCAGGAATTCTGGGAGTTGAAGT